GAAACAATTTTATTGTAAGTTGAATTTGTTTTTGGAAGTTAAATAATACTTCAAATTTGCAAATGAAAACATATTAAGAAATGAATTTAGCAGGTTTTTGTATAGTAATGGTAGAAGATTTAATTGCCAAAAACTTTTAATAGATAATTAATTATATAAAAAAAAATCTTGATATGATATTGGTAAAGAAAAATGTTGCTAAAAATTATTGGCAACCAAACAAGTCACCGGGTAAGTTACCCTGTGCCACCGGTGCCCACCCTAATTTCTATAGGCCACCTTCCTCTTTGCGGGGAAGTTTTATAGGGATGGACTTCCTCCACAAATGGATGTTTAATTTGTATTTCTTACCTTTTTTTTTTCAATTTTAGAATTATATATTAAACTTCATTACTTAATGAAGGTATTTCATTGTATGAGTGAGAATTTCTTCTATAAAAAAATGTTTGTGAAACTTATATTTTGTTAAACTACACAAACTAAGTTTTAAATAAAAGTAAATATAATGATATAAAGAGTTATTTCTTATTTAAAGATGATAAAATTTAAAAACACTTCTCTTATACTCTTTTATTAATATAATTTTCTTTTTACCCATCAAAATAAGAAAATGGGTCACACCAGCATTCCTTTAAATGAAAGGACAACTTTGGGGGTTAGAAAATTAAATTTAAGGATCATTTCATGCCAAAAAATTTGAGGGATCAAAATGAGACAAAATTGATAAGTGGAAGGACCAAACCAAGTACATAAAACCTTTTCACAATTTTGTGTTCCGCGGGCACTCAAATCTTTCAGTTGGTGCTTCCCCTCTGCTACTCTTCCCCACCCCCCGCATTTTGATTCGGCAATCGGAGAAGTCAACAAACGAGTTCCGGAATGCCAAATTTCGAGGATCTTCCCAACGATTGTCTAGCCCTTATTATCTCTTTAACCAGTCCACTCGATGCCTGTAGATCGTCGCTGGTTTCCAAAGCTTTCAACTCTGCCGCCGGTTCCGATGCCCTTTGGGTTAAGTTCCTGCCGGCCGACTATCAGAATTTGGTTCCTGCATCGCATTCCTTTTCTTCCTTGAGGTCCCTTTATCTCAGCCTCTGCGACCATCCTGTCCTCATTGAAGACGGGAAAAAGGTATAGAAACATCCCAAGTCCCAACCTGCTCTCTAATTATTTTGTTATGTTGGTCCTCAAATGATTCTTTTTTTTCTTCTGATTTTGTATGTTAAAATTGTAAGGTATCAACGTTGAGTTTGCATATGGCCCCTAAAAAAATTCTGGTTCCGCCGCCTTCTTTCTTTTCCCATTTTTTTGGCCAGCTTCCTTTCCCTTGCTGTGTGTTTAAATTAAATAAAACTAATGTATTTGGACAATGATATAATTACAATGACGATGTTTTGAAAGACGATTATGTTCTTGTTGTTAATATAATGATTAACGATTTTTATGTCCTTTCTATGCGGCGTTTATGTGATCCTTCTTTTCATTGATTAATTGGTAGACATCTTGAATTGAATTGAAGCTGATCAGAGTAGTCTTTTCCATACTATTATTTTCCAATACTAGCATTGAGTCTTTAATCATCTCACATACATGGTACAAAGCTTTTCACTGGACAAAAGGAGTGGGAAAAAATGTTACATGCTAGCTCCCAGGAACCTCGCAATTGCATGGGGTGATACCCCTTATTATTGGAGGTGGATCTCCATACCCCATTCCAGGTATCTTTCTCAACCACACAGGAAACACAAACAAAATCATGCTTTTCACAAAACGCATACATACGTTTAGTCATTTAGAAACAAAATTATTCAAGCAAGCCGACACGTGATTGCTTTATAAAGTCTCCTTCCCCAACCTAGAACAAATAGATATGTGATAATATGATATATCATTCATGCTTACATTAATTTTCAAACAGGTTTCCTGAGGTTGTGGAGCTTCTTGATGTCTGTTGGTTCGAAATCACTGGGAGGATTGATAGTTGCAATCTTTCCCCGATGACACGTTATCATGCTTTCCTAGTGTTCAAATTGGCAGCCTATGCTAAAGGATTTGAGAATAAACACATAGATGCTTCTTTTCGACTTGGTGGAATTCAAGTTTCAAAGCAAATTGTGTTTGTTGATGTAGATGGTGGACGTGTAGCACAAAATGGTGAGCAGTACCCAAAAGAGAGAGGAGATGGTTGGGTTGAGGTAGAGTTGGGTGAATTCTTCAATGGAGGTGGAGATCTTGAAGAATTGGAAATACATATTTTGTCGTATGATAGGTACGCTGTGGGCGGTCTCTTTGTTCAAGGCATCGACATCAGGTCATGTTTGTAGGACATAACGAGGTTTTCTTGTTTTTTTCTTCTATGTATTTTAATTTATGTAGGAGAAAAATAACATTGCAAAGCACTAATTTTTATAAAGATGTCAGCTCTGTTACTAATGAAATTATTAATTTTGATGCGATATAATCTTTGCTATAAATAAATTTCATTTATAGTTCTAATTATTGGAAAAGTGTTTTGTAATTGAAATTATACTAAATAATAAAATATAAATTTTAGATGAGAAACATGTTCTTTGATATTTAATTTTTTTCATATGAAAATTTTTTATTTTATAATCTAATATAATTTACGACAAAATAATGAATTATTTTATTTTATATTAAAAAAATGCATTTAAATTTTATTTATTTTTAATTCTGAGCATTGTATTCGAAGAA